ATCAGGTTTGCTTCTTCCTTCATGCAATTATAACACATCTTATCCAAGTGATTTTTACTGGTTGCTGGCATTGGATCTCAATCAAATGTACTTTTGTTTATTTTTGCATCAATATCAAAAAAGGATCTAATGCAGTTCTGTTTACTTTTGTATCAATATTAACAAGAATTTCATAGAAACGTGTTGCTTGATTTGGACAAAAAATTATCTTTGGTTACAATGACCTTGACCTTTGATCCGCGGACCTGAAAAGCAATCCCTAGCAAGCTCTTTTGGTGAGGAAGAACTTTATGGATTTTTGAAGATGATCAACAAGAGGGAACTCAAGTTATCGTGAAAAAACCTTGGTGCGGATGGTTTGGTTTGGCATGATGCACACCACATGAAAACTTAACTTCATGTCGTGATCAAGTTTCATAAAGATTGGTTGAAAAAAAGTAGGAGGAATTGATGAAACGATCCTAAGACGCTTTTTATTTTACAGGGCCTTTGGCGAGGTGTAATGAAAAAGTTTCATAAATCTCAGATCAACTGGAAACGATTATAAGATCCTTTTCATCACATGATCAAATATTCACTCAAATTTATCGTAAAAAATATTGAGTAATTGAATACTTTTGGAATGGTTCTGTATATATCATCTAATTAACCTCCATCCAGAAAAATAAAAATCATGTTATAGAGATTAAACCTACAAAAGTTCATAAACATCAGTTAGAGGAAATATTTTTGTTTATATTTCAAATCATGGTGATTCAGCATACAAACTTTCATAAAGATCGGCTGAAAAATGTTGGAGGAGATCTCCGGACAAGATTTCTATAGAGAAAGAAGCAAAGGGGCATAACTCTTATTCAAATCGTCTAATCAAAACCCCGTTCAGGAAAACACAATTTCATATCATGGTGATTAATCCTACCATAAAGATCGACTGTGGGAGGAGATCTCCGGTCAAATAAAAGTTTACGACGGACGCCGGACGGACGGACGGACAGCGCCATTCTTTTCTTTCGACGGGCGTATAAAAAAAGGCACAGGCCGACAACGACAGGAACTTCAGCATGGTGCGGAACGATATTAGTGTGACGAAAAAGTAAAATTTCACCTTGCGAACAAATCGCAAATTGGTTTCATGATCAACAGCTAAACGGCGTAGAGAGTGTAACTGAAATTAGCCCTGCAGATAGCGAAAACATGTGAGGAAGGAACAATGAAATCTAACAAAAATATTGATGAATGGGGACGTACAGCGGAGAACATACAGAAACAGTACAACGAACTAAAGAAACTGATAAATCGTGTGTGTGCAAAAAAGTAAAAACGGCAGCATTTCTAACGGTACATGCACGAAAGCAAATCATAATGTCACCACCGAGGGCAGGTGTACGGGTGAATGTCGCCGTATCGAACCGTTTCATTGCACTGGATCCGCGCAACGAATATGCTCATAACAGGAGTTATGGGGGTGTGATTTTGAGCAGCGATACACGTCAAGACAAATGCGTCAACTTTGTCCGAGACGCATGTTACAATGCAGGGCGTATAAACGTAGTGAACAGCGGGATAAACATTTGCTCTACAATACCGGTACATTTTCCATTGTCAGCCTGCAACAGCGGTGAAGATAAAACTAAAGAACTAACCGTCAAGTTTGTAGGGTATAATAGTCCGGAGAAACAGAGGATTAGTCCCTTTTACGTGTATCGCATTGCGTTCGAGGCGTCCATGGGGAGCTTTTTGGGACAATACAATGTATGTGTGACGTAATTATGATATTTTCAGAAGCAACGGATCGGGTCATAGCTGAACCTGTATTCGAAATTGACGCTTTTAGGCATAAATGTAATATCAGAAATGGGGAAGCCATACTTAGAAAAAGTCAAAATTTAAAGTTCTCGAAATTGATATTGACAACCTCAGATTGGTATCCACTAGTCAAACCGTGTAATATTTGCTGTGTATTTGCCAGCGGCCACTAGATCTAATGACGTTTTTTGATAAATATGAGCGTACGGTTCATATCAGAAGTTCTAAGACAGGGCACGTTTAATCTATTTATGTTCAAAGTATTTGCGAGAGGCAGGTTTTGGTCATATATTAATAGGAATCTCGTGACTACGACCTTGTTGAATAGTGTGAAGATTTAGACGAATGTGAACTCAATGTATCTCATCACAGTCCTGTAATTTGTACGTATGGCTATTATGTAAAACGTTAGATTTCATTTGCATGAACGTATACGACGTGCATGCAATAAGTTAAAAAGTGGTACAATGTTCTTAATTGAGAGTGGTGCACACCCTAGTGCTGTAAACCCAGTGAATACTGATAAACTTAAAATAATCTGTGTATACGTCAACACTCTATGGTTGTGAGCTTTGGGTTTTATCTAGGAATGAAGTGCTTATGTTAGAATGAGAATATAGATTTATTGTGAAAGCAATTCAGGGATTTTATCTTTTCAAAGGTGAAACTCTATATAGATGTAGACACGTAAATATAACTACAAAGGTGATGTCATAATCTCATTATAATGTGATGTATGTATACTACTATGTTGGAGTCTTCAGGTCAGAACTATTTACAACGGGCAATACATATACAAGGTCCGTCATAGACGAAAAGAGCCGATAATGGAATTAATTCATATTTCTCATAGATAAACTGAATAGTGTGTCCATTGTATCCGTAGTAAGAAATGAGTGTGATAATTACGCCAGTGATGGATAACGTGTTTTGTTTATAATTTAAAAGAACTCGCCATTTACCAACTATTATTTACCATTTGTTTAACCTTACTATATGGATTTCACATTCACAGAAAGGATTCAATTTGTTTTGAGGATTCATTCACGATGAAAGGATTGGAAATCATCCGCACTGCAATTTGTTTTGAAGGAGTAAGATTATCTTGGTATATGACAAAATCATATCTTGGTAATGAATTATATACCAAAATACTTGCATTTGTTTTGATCTTAACTATACGATATAGAAATATATATGAGCATGACAAGTCGAATGCATATCAACAACACTTTTTTTAACAGCACAGATATTATTTTTGGTACCTAGTGGTACTAATACAAACGCATGTTAAGTACATGGTTTATACTCAGCCTGAGAATTTTGAAAGAAACATATATCATTAATGCGTGATCAACGATGCAAAAATTAGTTTTGATCTTAACTATACGAATAGAAATATATATGAGACTTGTATCATTTTTCCGCACTGAGAGGGAAATATATACCATTAATGCTTTAATAACGTGTTTCGTTTTTTGTTTATAATTTAAATTATTTCAGAGAACAATGCATCAAATTGTTTTTGTAAAACTCTTCGTATACACGGGGAAACAAAGTGTAAGTAATCTGATCCTTAACATAATGAGGTCACCTATATTACATAAATTATCATTTTATTGGTGTGTAAGAACTATCAATATTATGTTTATCATACGTATTTTGACAAAATTCAACGATTTCTACAGAATGATCAGGATATTAACAAATTATGTCTATTTCCCCTATCTGACTTCTAATCTCCCAGCCCCGAAAGCCACGACCCACTGTTTATTAAAAAAACAAGTCACCTTTACTCAACGATGCTTCAGACCATTTATTCAAAATGCGAACATGCCTACAGGTGGAGCAGATTTTTTAAGAATTTGTTCCTTCTGGCCTCGACCTCTCAAGCACCACAATTTTGGCAAAATCTATTCATAGAATCATAGGGAATATGATTTTAATGCATTTGCTCTATTTTTCATATTAGCTATCGCAATTCCTAGCCCTAGGGACCAAACACCACTATTTATACAAAATTGATTTTCCTTAATCCAGGATTGTTTAAAACCCATCAAATCTAATCATTCCTGCTAAAAGAGTAAGATCTAATAAGAATTTGGGTGTTTTCCCTTCCGGTCCAAGGTCCATGATCCAGTATCTATTACAAAAATCCTCGCAACCCGAGAATGCTTGAGACCAAATTTCAGTAAAACTCAACATTCCCGCAGAAGGGGTAGGATTTAAGATTATTTGCTCTATTTTCCCATTTGAGTCCTGTACATCTTGCTCGGGGTTGCAAGAACCATTATTTATAATTTTGATTCCCTTTTATATTCGGACCAAATTTGGGCTAAATCCAGACATTCTAACAGAAGGAGTGCTCTTGTTATAGGAACGTGAACATCCAAGAAAGGTCAAACGTCAGTACAATGTATGGCTGTGAACTATACTGCAGCATATTTCTTGAAAAATATGTCAAAATCAAAGAAGAAATAAAAGGAGGGAGAAATCATAAACTTTGCACGTCTATTAGCAACCCTGTTTTTGTGTTCAAACTCAACAGTACAGGTTAAAGGCCATTGCAAAGGCGTTGCTTTCAGATAAATTAATGACATTTTGTCGTTTTAAAAAAAGAAATTAATTGACCACGTCTATCGTATTAACCGAAGAAATTTTGAAATCAAGGACACAACATACTATTCTTCATCAGTCGCTTATCTCTCGCTTACCACCAAGCTGTCTGATAAGCGGATGATTTCAATTCAATATTGTGATTTTTCTATTTCTTGATAGCAACCTCTCTGCATTCCCAACATATAGTTTAAGCATGTCGCTGCTGATTCGATATGTAATTCCCTATGTCCTTTAGCTAGAAGTAATCAAATGAAGATCAAAGTCGTGGCAGTGTTTCGAAAATGCAGGTTGATTAAAATAATGGGAATATCTAGCGGTCGTCATAGCATTTCATTAAGGAATATTGTATTTCTTTGTACGATATGAAGAATGTTGCTCTAATCCTCCAATTCCAGGAGGTTAAACCTTCCTTTGATATTCGGTTTAGAATGTGTATCTACTACGTGAAACAATGATGTTATCTACGAGGGCGATACGTCCGCCATATAAATCCTTCCATGGAGCATTTAAGATAAATGCCATTACATATTATATTGATTATAATTCAAGATGTTAGGGATATAATAAACAGTTGCTCACCTCTGTGTAAAATTCTGAATTTCATTTTCTAGGCGTTTGACCTTTTCTTCATCCGACTCCTCCCTGATGGATTTAAAAGAAATGGAATTTAGTCAACTTTTTCTGTTAAATCAACTAAATAAAACGCGTTATACCTCACCGTTACATTTACATTATAGCATGATGCTCAACATCAAAATTTCAAAATATGCAATATTTTCCTAGTTAATTGCTTATCTCCATGTAAAAGAGCTATTGATTATAATACTTTGTTATGACGTAGTTAGTTTAAATCACTACATTGGTTTTAAAATAGAAAGATATATAATGAAAGTGCCGACTTTCGTTTGTTGGTATTAAATATATCTTACTATATGGAATGACTAGTATGTGGACTTTGAAGAACTCCATAGAGCTCTTGACCAAACTTTAACTCCCTCTTCTAAAAAACACATTTCTCCTATAATAACATTTGAATTGCCCACCCTGTTCACAACCATAACCTATTCTAAATTGAAAGCATGCCTCTGTTCTCTATTTAAGAGAGCTTTCTTATCCAAATGAGGCGAACGGCAATATAAATATATGGTTGTGAACTATACTGAAGCTTGTTTTGATATATATATATATATTAAAGCAGAGATATACAGAGGACAAAATCATCGAAATGATCGAGATTCTGACAGACTATCGGCAGACCTATGGGAAACAACTGTTCCGTCTGTGACTGGATAGTTTTTGTTTTCACATGAGGCTTAAGTCATTGAGAGCTTATCACAACAGGTCACAAAGGCCTGAACACGTCGTTTAGTTTCAGATGTAGTGATGACGTCTTGTCCTTTGATAATAACAAATTAATTGACGATGTCGTTCGTATATATATCAACCAGAATCGGAAATCAAAGATACGACAAACTCCTCTACAGTAGACGCTTATCTCGATCTTTTCATACAACGAAACCAACATGGACAGCTTTCAAGTAAGCTGTGCGATAAACATAATGATATAAATTTCAATATCGGGAATTTTCAATTTCTGGATAGCAACACCCAAATTGATTAGATATTCCAGGGTCTGTTCCCATTATTATAACGCATGCATTAATAGAACACGCTAAAACTATAAAAATATTAATTATACGTCAAAATATTATTTATTTCCATGGGTTACTAAAATGGCAGATATGCTTATTAAAAGTGTATATGTACGCTAAAAATACCTTGTTGATCGCTCATCTCCAATACATACTCGTCCCAGAAACCGTTTCATGTCTTTCAACGGCGTCTCACTTTGTTGAAAAGAAACATCCTCAATAACCATCGGCTCGATACTGGAGTACGTCTTTGATATCCCTGTTTTTGCGGCTTGGACGATGTCAGCTTTACATGTGGCCTTGATACAGGCATCACGAGAGGCTATATCTTCCGTAACTTCTGCAATTTTTGCCTGGATGTCACGCTGTTTCTGCTCTAGTATCTGACGATTCGATGCTTTGATTTGCCTACATTTAGTCTTGAGTTCCTTTACCAACGTATCTACATTGGAATGAAGTTGGTCTCCTCTTTTCTCAATTTTCTCCATAAGTTCTTTACATGCTCCGTCATAGCCTAATAATTCTGCTTCTATTTGTTTTGCCATTTCCTTCAAAGGACCAAGGATGTGTTCTTCGGTGTTTTTATTCCATTCCAGAACTTTCTCTTTACAGACCTTTAGGTGACCCTGTAGCATTGTTAGTTTATGTCCAGCGTGAAATCCTTCGTCAACAATGCACTGCGAGCATACCACGGCTTCATCACATCCGTCCTGACGGCAGACAAACGTAGCTTCTGTGTCTGGATGTCTTGGACAAGGCGGATCTATCACATTTCTAAGATGAACTTGTGCCATACCTTCAGCCATAGTTAGCATTTACCTGAAATTATATATGATTTTTTATAAAAAGAATTATACTAAATTGTTGCGTTAACAGATGATTAAAGATAGTAGATTGAAAACGTGTGTTTTATCTGTAAAACATACTTCCTGCAATATCAAATACCGAGTGTAGAACAGATTCGTTAATCTAATGTTACTATTTATTTTGTAAAATGTCAATTAAATCACCTAAAAGCTTGACGATATTGACATGGTTGACAGAATTGACATCATATTCGATCTCTGTCCTGCTAAATCCAAAGGCGTCAAATTTACACATTTATTTCAACAACTGCTAAATGATTTAAGTCGCATTAACATGCTATTTGGTCAATAATGTGCTGGAATGCAAGCAACTGCTAGCCAATTCACTTAAATGCTACACAAGTGCTACCATATCCACAAAAACATTTTATTAAGTGGTAATCAAGTTGGATGCTGCAATAACGATTCTGTTTTATACATACTAAATAGATCTTTTTTAAACATGACATATCCAATGGTCCCATCACAAGTGATCCGTTTCAGTATTGGTTTAGGCATTGATATATCCGTCAATGCGGTATCCAATTTGTTCGCACTTAATTGATCCCGTCTGCATTAGGAATATTATATAATGTCTGTCAGGTAATGGTCTTAATATGTTCTCTTACAAGTCAAATATACAACTGCAGTTTTATTTGTAAGAGCGTCTCATACATATTGTACGGAGCCCGTTAACTGACATGCTCCATACTTATTTTATTTCGTTTTTTCCGAAATATTATTTCGTTTAAACGAAATATTAATTCGTTATTTCGAAATATTAATTCGTTATTTCGAAATATTATTTCGTTTAAACGAAATATTAATTCGTTATTTCGAAATATTATTAAACGAAATATTAATTCGTTATTTCGAAATATTATTTCGTTATTTCGAAATAGTATCTCGTGTTAAGAAAATGACATCATTTCTTCGGCAGCTTTTATTGTTGTCATGGAGGAACAACGTTTAAAACTGATAAAATGCTACTTCAAATTAGGCTTGAAACATAATGACATTTGTTGGATTTTGAATCAGAGACACGAAATCAATCTTAGCAGCAGGCAATTAATCAGGATTCTTCACAAGGAGTCATTGCATAGGTATAGAGAAGGTGCTGATATTATGACTGTTATAGATTTCATAGAGTCTGAATATAAGGGATCAGGAGTACTGCATGGATATCGATGGATGTATCAAAAAATGAAAAACCATGGCATTCAAGCAAGCAAGGAAGAAGTCCGTCTGTTAATGGGCATTCTAGATCCAGAAGGAACAGAGCTCCGTCGAAGACATAAACTAAAGAGACGCCTTTAATGCTCTAAAGGACCCAACTACATCTGGCATTTCGATTCTTACGACAAGCTGCGTCCATACGGAATTTGTATCAATGGATGCTTTGATGGATATTCGCGCAAAGTAATTTGGCTCAATGCGTACTATACCAGTAGTGATCCAAGGATCATTGGTGGTTACTATTTAAAAGCGGTGGAAAAACTGGCCGGTTGTCCGCTCATTGTACGTGGTGACAGAGGCACAGAAAATGGGCATGTATGCGAGTTTCAACGTTTTTTTTCGACGCAATGATAATGATTCTTTCCATGGTGAGTGTAGTTTTATGTATGGACGTAGTACAAGCAATCAAAGGATCGAAAGTTGGTGGGGGTTCTTACGAAGGGAGTGTATGGAATTCTGGTTGGCTTTGTTTGACCAAATTAAGGCAGATGGTAAATTCGACGGCGGATTTATTGACAAAAATAGCATACTGTTCTGCATCCTGTCACTGATTCAGGTACTTATATAAATATCTAAATCTGTAAATAGTTTGTTTGACTTTTTGCACAGTCACTTTAGAAAGTTATGATACATGTATCTGCACTTGAATATTTGTATTTAAATAAATAATAAATAAACTTTATTTTTTACAACAATTATGAAACAAGTTATATCAATCACTCATATAAATATTTGTATTTGAAAACATAATCCTATTGTAAACAAAAAGACAATACGCCTGAATAAAAATATAAAAGAAATCGTAAGCAGAGGTATGACATTGCTAAAATGTGGTGCTAGATTTTTTAAACTACCAGCATATATACAAATACCAAATGTACGAAAAGTATTTAGGATGTACATTTACAATACATCCGAAACGATTTTCACGCACAGGTTTCACAAATATTTATAATTAATCGAAAATGTTTAATGTCTTAGAGAATCGTAAAAATGGTACAAAAAAGAAGGTAAAGTTAACATGCATGATTCTTTTATCTTTATTTAGAATGAGCTGGACGAAACAGCAGGAGTGTGGGATTCTCACGTTATTCGACCAACTACCAATCCCAATGTTCCAAGTGGGCGACCGAATATTATGTTCTCAGTTCCTGAACTTTATGCAGTTGATGATTACACGTGTGATGTAGATGAGAATGACCTCCAAGTATGCAATAATAACGCATTGTTCCAAAGTGAAATACCCTGTGATGTAGACGTATATAATATATGCATACAATTCATGTCTGAAAATATATTGACATTTGCAAATGATGCGTATCAGGCTGTTGACTTGTATTCCAGCTTAAGACAGTGTATACATCATCTCCTAATGTAATTCCTCAAGGGAAAAATTGAGTTATCATGGCAAATGTCGTTAATGTATACCCGATTTCTGCTTTGGAGACTTTATTGTCGAGAGTAAATCGCACCGAAGACACCTAGTTACTTTAGCATGAATAGATTTGTTAGCTTAAATAAACAAGAGGCCCATGGGCCTTAACGGTCACCTGAGTTTTGATACATATATTTTAGCAAATTTGATTCCCATGACCTTGAATTAAGGTCAATGTTGTTCACCTCAACATACTACAGGCTCAATATCAGGTCTCTTGACATTTTGCTTAGCGAAAAGAAGTCCTTTAAAGAGTTTAACATATTTGACCCCATGACCTACATGTAAAGTATGGGCAAAGTCATTCATTTCAACATAGCTCTTCATCTCTGCATGCTATTGGTCCAATATCAAGTCACTGCAGCTGCTGCCTAATTAGAAGAAATTGTTAAATTGTTGAAATACCTGGAATCCCTTTATCCCTGCATGCTACAGTCCAAATATCAGTACCCTTTACTTTTTCTCTGAGAAGATGTAATTTAGAGATTTTTTTACTCATTTGACCCCTATGGCCTTGACTGAGGGTCAAGTTCTTTGAACAATGTTGAAAGCCCTTTATCCAAGCATGCATACAAATGTCAGTATCCTGAGCCTTTTAGCTATTGAAAAGAAGTTATTCAACGATTATTAACTCATTTGACCCCTGTGACCTTGAAACAAGGTCAAGATCATTCCTTTGAACAAATTTAATGCAAGTGTACAACAGACCAAATATCAGTACCATGGGCGTTTTGGTTCTTGAGAAAATGTTGACTAAAAATCTTAAACACATTTCACCCCTATAACCTTGAATCAAGGTCAAGGACATTCACTTGAAAAACTTCAATTGCACTTCACCCCAGAATGCTCTGTTTCTAAAATAAAGTCACTAGGTCTCTCAGTTAATGAGAAGATGTTGTTTAAAGACTTTATACACATTTGACCCTGTGACCTTGAATAAAGGTCAAGGTCATTCTCTTGAGCTCCTTTGATAGCCCTTCAACCCAGCATGCTACATACTTAATATATAGTCTATAGGCCTCTTAGTTATGGAGAAGATGTCGAAATGTGAATTGTTTACGAACGGACAGCGCATGAGGACGGACAAAAGGCATTTAAAATAGGTCACTTGAGACAAACCGCCGTAATTTAACGATCTCATGTGATAATACAACTAAATCATCCTCATAATTCTTCATGTTCACATCAACTGAGGTTTACAAGAGTATCATTGCACCAATGCACATCACTATTGACCCAGCACAAATGATGTCATTTCAATAAAATGATCAGTTACTGATACACTGGAATAGTAAATATTCAAAAACAATTTCAGAAGTAGAAAGACTTACCCTCTGACGTGGAAAGCAAGTTAATGTCACTTATTTCAACATTTATTGCCATCCATTCTTGAATGCTGCTACCTAACACCATAGCCCTTGACCTCAGTGATAATGAAAAGCTATAGTAAGTGATAATTTAATTGTATTAAGATTTTTAAAACCCATTTTACTGACCGGTGCCCTTCAAAGTTAGATCAATCAATTGATCAATATTGATAGCTTGTATCCCTTATCCCAACATGTTTCAGATTCAATATTATTTCTCCCATCATGTCATGTGCTATTTCACATTAACATCATTGTATAAATGTACCGACTGCTGGATACCTATACCTAGTGGTATTTGTATATGACCTTAAAGTTGAACTTTGACCAGGACTAGCGCATGTACGTTTGTTTACAGATAGTGCTTGCTTGTTGATGTCAAATGTCGATGGCAGACATATCACCATGCTACATATATATATATATATATATATTGATATATGTACCTTGTACTTGCATTAACATATTCTGCAATTTTACTGCTGCCGACTCATATTTAAACTGGTCACATGACTTGTGGTTGTGGATATGGTATTTTTCACTCTCGTTATTTATTTCTTGAAGGTGCCATTTTAAACTTTATTAAATGACAAATATCATATTTAACACACACCTGTTGTGCAAGCTCTGTAACCATGGACCTTTTGATTAATGAGAAGCTGTTCAAGAATTTCTATGTAGCTGCAATCTGTGATCTTTAATGTAAGTCAAGGTCGTTCATGTAAATAAACTTGCTTATTATAATGCTAGTCTTTAACCTTCGCATGCTACAAGTCGAATATCATGAGCTTTGCCATTAAAATTAAAGAAATTGTTAAAAAAGATTCACAAAGGCATAAACTTGTTTGCTCAACGGGTTTAAACTACAAGAGAAAACAAAGTACAACAAAACTGATTCAGAATGTTTATTAAGTAACAAACCACATACCTGATGTT